GAGTGACTTGGTAGTGCTACGCCTGGTTCAGGAAAGGCCTTCATGTCAGGATCTGAGCTTGATCAGTATATGTGTGATGCAGGAACCAGCCTATTTATGTTTGATATCCCCATAACCCACCTTGTGAGGGCTGGCAAAAATAGCTTTGGTCGTGAACATCAGGAATTGCTGCAGACTGATAATGCGCTGGCTCAAGATACGCCTCATTCTGTGACTCCGAGGGGCGGTCTTGTGGGAGAGCAGGGCCAAGGCATGATAACTCTGGCAGCGGTAGCTGTATCCAATCGCCGAGGAAGTGATTTCCAGGTAGCTCTTCTACCATGCTCTTAGCGATGTTCAATTTCCATACACATTACTCAATCTCACCGCCGTAACACGTCTGTGGTTGGTCCTGGAGAGAAGGGAGCCAGTGCCAGGACGACTCAGGCCCATCCCAAAACGTCGTGGCCGTAGAGGGAACGACAAAGTAGGAGCCTGATAGCTGGGAAGCCTCGTCTACGTCGCTGGGATACTGTCGATGCTGAGGACTTAGATCCATGATTGAGCCCTCGAGCTAGGTACTAGCAGTCATAAGCCAGCTGAGGCAATTACTTCGAAGGCCCAGAACATCTCTCTCGTTTCAGGGGTCTCTGTCGATAATGGTGGGATTTCCAAACTTATAGGTCAAATTCAGCCCTCAGTGCTTCTTTGGAATTTTTGGGCCCTCATATGACCAAATTTACTTCCTATCTATTCCACACTATCTAAACCCACCTTGGAAATACCGGCGCAGAAATTACAGGCTTGGATTGGGATGCGGCAGGTGTGACAAGTTGGATTTGGGCACGTCTCCCCCACTGAAAGGGAGCGAGATGGTGCAGATTTCAGGCTGTGCAACCTTAGACAAGTCTCCCTAGCCAGGTTAGGGCATGCATTCGCAGCCTGAAAGTGCACAGTGCCCGTCTCATGGTCTGAGGGCACCTGGCCCAGGTCACTTTGTTGGCGAATCAACTTGAAGCCTCTAAGTTCAAGTCAAGAAACTTCATGTTGAAGTCAGCATTCGCTGTTTGTATGATATGTGTTGGGTATCTTCTTTATCTTCTTACAGCCTTCTCCCACGTCTCATCAAAATTCGCAATCCCTGGCTGTGTTCCCCGCCCGGTCGTCTGTGCGAGACCGTAAGCTGCGAGGGGGATTGGTGGCTCCTCCTGCATCCACGCCTCAAGTCTGGTGGTTCGCATCGCCCGCTGGCCGCTTTTGCCTGACCTGCTATTGAACAATGAGCATGACGAAAGTCGGTGGGGAACTGGAGCACCCACTTGGAGTCTCCTGTACGGAGAGAGTGTGCATCGTTGCTCGGCATCTCAAGTTTCCAACTGGGCTGGTTCTTTTGGCTGATTCTTCAAGACTACTCGATTTATTCTTACTTCGACGAATTTTTTTTTTTTGGACTAATAAACACATCCAGAGAACATCTTGTGCTCAGATTCAGAGCGCTCATTCACATCTTTTCTACGCCTTTCTAGGTGGCCCATATTAGGAGTCGCCCCTAAGTTCACTGCGCATTTCCCCAGACTATCGCGCAGCGTAGTTGTGCGCAATTGAAAGCAATTTTGTGAGCAGCTGCGCTTCCTTTCCAAACTGTGGCCTGGCGAACTGGTGTATACTGTGGGAATTGGTTCGCCTTTGGGGGGCGTGTCGTTATTGTACGTACATCGCGCATTTCCAACATTGTAGAAACGAGCAGTCGCGCGTTTCGATGTGTAAATCCGCCCGCTTGCAATGCGCAATTGCTCAGGAGTGACGTAGATGCATGTCTACAAGGGAATCAAAGTAGAAAAAAGCGCATCCAGATCAGGTTTTTCTAGACCTCGGTGGCTGTTGTGGCGCGAGGCAACGGCTTGCGGCTTGCCTCGTGCATGGACCTCGAGTGTGGGCGGCTCAGAAGAGATGTCTCAATGGCCTGGCAAATCAGATACCTGACGACGAGATCACATCAAGAGGGAATCTAGATCGTTGGATCAGGAGTCGGGAGACGGAACAGAGATGCGATCCTGGACAACTCAACGGAATGTTTACGGAACAGTACGCCTCCGAGTCCGCCCCGGCAAACCTACAATGGCTATGCAGACCTCCGTACATTGAAAATTGCAAGCTGTCCGGCCGAAGAGCCTCATGGGATGGGTGTCCTCATTGGGGCGTGAGAACTTGAGAGCAGATGTTGATTACCAAAAGACGAAAGGCAGCCGCGCTAAGGGGAGGAGTTGGTTGAGGAGGCGAATGGAGTCTAGGATTTCTCTCACAGATAGAAACCGTTACTGGTTTCTCTCCTCCTTTTCCATTTCCTACAATTCCACGAGCATGTCATATAGTCTTCGCCAGGGAGACGCTTTCAGCCAACAGCCTGAATGCATTTCGTTTCGCTTCCAACCACCTTTGTCGATGAGCTTGCTACTGAGGCTCTTAAGTGGCTTGACCGTCTATTCAGACACTGTGGCCAACCGGTTGTCAACCTTGGGGGGTAACAGCTTGGGCCAGTCATCGAGCTCGTGTACCGTCGTCGACGTCTGTTTCACCACTGCGGACGCCCTGGGAGGCTGTCCGACTTCGGTCAATTCGCTCTTTGGTTCTCTCTCGAACTCATCACAACCAAACTTTGCCCATGTTCGACTATCGCCAGCCGGAATTACGGCACTGCAAAGTCCCTCCCGTTGCCTCGGGCCAAACCTCGCACAGCATACTTGCTCTCAATGGCCAGTCTTTGAATTCGACAACGTCAAGGTTCGCCATGGCCTTTATAACTTACTCGCAGTCTGTGGCACTGGTCTTTACCTGCTGAAACCGGTTGCTGTCGCTCTGTTCGCCAAGTGGGTGCCGGCGGCACCCTGCCCTGACGAGAATGCAAGTTTCCTGGGCAGTGGACATCTATCTACAGGCTGGCTTACGCTCAGCGACTTCATCGCTCGCCCGCCGATTCCACAGCTGCTTCGAGAACTGTTCACCAAGCCTGGACTCTACCTTGAACATCTCGTATGCAGACCAAAGATCATCACTACAGGCGGTAGTTCTGAAAAGACTAGCGGATCCGGGGGTGTAGCCTCTGGACCCGACGAACGTCGAAGCAGGAAGAGAGCTACAAAGTCAGGCGGGAGCGCTGCTTCCAGCACCAGTACCACGAGCCGTGGGCGTAGTGGAAAACGGCCGCGTGTGGCAGTCGCCCCCAAAGCCAAAGCAGCCAGGAAGGGGAGGCTTTTCGCGTGCCACTTTTACGCGCACGACACTGTCGCCCATGAGTGCTGCCGCCATTACAAATTCGACGAAGTGAAGGACATCAAGAGACACTTGACAGAAGAGGGCAGAGGCAATCACCGCCAACCCATTCATTGTGTCATTTGCTTTTCCTTGTTCACCACGTTCGCCGACTGTAGCGCACATATAAGGGCACAAACATGCCATCCTAGTGTCTGTGATTTCGATGTTTCTGGTCTAGATGAAGACCAAATAGCCGCTATTCGAGGACTGAAGAAGCCTCGCGATAAAGATCAGAAGGAATTCTGGTTCCAGATCTGGGACATTGTCTTTCCAGGCGAGCAGAGACCTGCGTCGCCCTACTCTGACGACGTCGACGAGCTTGCGACAAGACGACGTGTGGCTCCCAGAATGGCCGTTGGCGTGCAGCAGCTTGGGTTACAGCTTGGGTTGAGTGACCATGACGTCCAAGCAGTCATTCGCGTATTGGACAACAGCTGGGGTTCAGGCCCGGTAGTGTCACCATCGCCAGTCGAGCAGCACAATTCCTCTGAAGCTGCCAATGTCCAAGGACCACCACCTTCACCTCCATTCCACCCCTCCAGTTCATCCTCGCGCTCTATCCAAAGCCAGGTGTTTACCGGTTCCGCTCCGACAGCGGCTTTCCTTCTGTCTCCCTCACACTCGTTGGGTCCAACAAACATAACCTACATCGATGAATTGCAACCCCGCTCCACGTCTAATCCCTTTCAGAGCCCATATCAACCATCCAATGCTCCGAGGAACCCTCATCGCGCTCGAGCAGCACACACATCGCACAACCCGGCGTTGATGGATCACCATAGCGCCGTTGCTCAGCAGCACTGCACAGCCCATCAAACCAACAGGTCTGGCTTCAGAACAAATCCCATATTCAACACCACCTCCCCCCCAGTGCACTACGCAGGCTCTGGAGAAGCTCAACCGCCTTTTAATTCACTAGAACCTGGTGTCAACTTCTATCCGCCAGGGCTGAACCAGCGCCAGCCAGCCATCAACCCAGTCAATACCGACACTTGGGCATGTTTCCTCGACGAAGATACAATCGCGGCCGACAACGAAGGTTATCAGTCACTAAGCAACCTCCTCCCGCCAGAGCACTGAGAATGCCAGCGCGAGCCAGGAGAGTCTCCAAAGACGTGCTTCTTACACAATGGCTTACACAATTGACTTGGGTTTTCTCATCTTATGCTTTTCATTGTCTACATGGTTTCTCATTTTCTTATGTCAATTGTAACGACCATGGGAAATGGAAGGGAGTTCAAATCTATCAGGCATCAATATTTTCGATTTTGTCTTTATACCCGCAACAGCCAGTTCGAGACTTTGGTCCGTTCATCGACCATTACTTAGAGGAAGATTAGATATCATAGGAACTCAGCATTCGGGACAGGGGCTTCCCAGCAATAGACTCGGTTCCGGTTCATTTAACGAGTGTCAATTTACATTTTCCCTAGGTACTGAAACTTCGTGAGAGGTTGCCCTCCCTTCCTGATAAACAGCACGACAACAGCCCCGTCTTGTACCAGCCGCCATGCAGAAACAGGACTACGTGTACAAGATTGCATGCTGAGACTGGATGCAAACAAATAGCAGACAAAAGACCACACTATTTGGCAGCTTCATGCATTACCTAATCCACCACGGAATCTAAAATAGTTTCACATCCATTTTGGCGATAATGTGTCCAGGACGTTGCGGTTGTCCGCACCGAATCCTTCATGTTCGGATGTTTACATAGGCCACAAAGTCGTTAAATATGAATCGAACTGCTGAGCGGCGTCCGACTGGAATGCCTGCCCGAGGTTTGCAATGGAAGAGGGACCATCCTGGAGGGAGCTATCTTGCGTCCCACATGGTTGAAAATGAACTGCGTGGGAAATGTCTTCAGGGATATCGGGGACGGATACAGCAAGACCGTCGCCCTGGTTCCATTGAACCTCTCCCGCTTGCGTGACATCAGGATGCTCCAGCACATGCCGGACAGCTTCCATGATGCATCTCTGAAGCAGACTCCGGTTCTCCTCTGTCAGAGGTTCTCGGAGCGTGGCCTCTCGCTGAGATACGAGGTCTTCGATGATCTTGGGACCCTTAGTTTCCCAGAGCTCTCGCCGCATGGTGCTGATGTCCTCGACCATCCTGCCCAGGAAACAAAATGGAGGTTCCGGGCGTGTATGGTCAGGGCAGACAATGTCCCACACCCTGAACCATTGTTCCTCCGTTGATCCATTTGGAACTCTTCCTTCTAGTAGAGTGTCTTGCTCTTGTGAAATCCATGGTGGGCTTAATGCTCCTGGGGCATTGCAAGAGCGTTGAATGAGGTGGTTGTCCCGCTCGTCGGGTCCCGAGTACGTTTCCCAACAAGTGGGACAGTAGTATTCCGGTCTGGTATGCTTTCTTCTCATGTGCTGCTTGACATCTCTAATTCGCCTGAGTCGGCTTTTCGCACAAGCCGCGTATCTTCGGGGGTCCTTTCGAAAGAGAGGGCAGGCTAGGTATTTCAGGTCCACGTCACCTGCACCCGTTCCATCTTTCCCGTCTTCAGGACCGTGACGGTCCAGATCGTCGTCACTTGATTGGTCGTTTTCATCTTGGTTGGATTCTTCTCCTTGCCTCTTAGAAACTGCCTGCCGCTTCCGGCTCCATGTCGGTGGCTGTCGCTGTCTCGCAGGTCCCCGAGTGCGTTTCCTTGTTGGCACTTTCCCTTCACCTTGGATCGTGAGCTTCTGGTAACAAGTGGCTTGCACTCTAACCTCAAGGTCATACAAAGCTTGAAGGACTAATTCATTCATGATGCGGTGGGTATCTCGGTCTCCCTGCTTTGCCATGGACAGTCGTCCAGGTGCAGTGGTCAGTGGACGTGCGTCTAATTCGTCTAGTTGAGCTTGTGGATGTTCGAGCGGACGAAGCTTGAGTCCAGAATTTGGCGATTCGATTCCAGGCTTTGCTGGAAAGACGTTGTGCCCAGGTCCGTCCCTCATCTCTAGCCCAGGGTATCCGGCAAATGCATCCGAAGTGGACGCAATCGAAGGTGCTGGATGAGAGTCATGAGAACGTTGAGAAACGTCCGAAACTTGAAGTCCCGACAACCTATGAGACAATTCCTTGGTAGATGCAGACACTAAAGGTATGATATCACGACTGGTGGAACTGCTTTTCGGTTGTGAGGTAGGTAGTGGCCCATGTCTGACAACCCAATGTCTTCGGAAGATCGCTTTCGAGGTGAATTCCTTGCCGCAATTCTTAAAGGGGCACGTTTGAACCGTCGGAGCCAACCCCCAAATCGGTGTGAAACTTCGCACTTGATTGCTTTTGTACGATTCGGGGAGTAAGTCATTTCCACAATTGGTCTCCGAGTCGCTCTCCGAGTTACTCTGCGCGTCACTCTGCGCGTCGCTCTGCGCCTCTATCTTCGTCCAGTCATTCTCCGAGCCATTCTCTGTGCGTGAAGAGCTTCCGCTCCCTGTGCGATGGTGATGCATCCGTTGGATGTCCATCTTCTTGAGGCTTCAACTGGAAACAGAGCTTGCGGGTTTTGGAAGTTTTCTGTGGTTGGTAAATATTTGGATCTCTGGAGAGAAAGGATTGCCTGGTTTGTGCTATGTGCAGACGGCTTACTTTGAAGGCGAGGTAGACGAATTGTCCCATGACGAGTTAGTTCGTCTTAGTCAACAATTTTGCATTTCTCCCTTCGCCTCTTTCCCAACGAGCTAGTGTTAGCGCGTCTTTTCCCCCACAAGCCATATCGAAGCCTTGCGGTGAAGGGAGGCCACCGAAGAAGAGCACACTGGTGCTCGTCTCGTCCAGACCACGCGTCGAAGTTGACAAAGAGTGGTAGGCACTCGCCTGATCGGAGTCGAAGGAAGGCAAACATGTCTTCGTATTAACTTGCGAGAGACCTCTGGTTTTCGTAGGCACTATTGATAGATCACTCGATACACAGTTCACAGGGCACTCTTCGTTTCGTCCAGCCTCGTCAGCCAAACTGGAGAAACCCATAAGAGCAAACATGTGCTAGTCAATGGAAAAGCATCAGCACAAGCACGCGAGGTTTCGGTTGTCTGTACAGGTATCCCCAGCCCTGGCTGGAGTCGTAAGCTGCATCCAGACCAGGAACCGACATTTGAAGGCAACGACGGACTAGACCTTCGCGATGTTTCCTTTTGTATCTTAACATGTCTGCCCCTCCCCCGCAATTCGCTAGAGAAGCACGGATCACCGAGTATCCGTTGGAAGAGTGGAGACGCGGCACTCGGGTTGACTAATCGCACCGCTGCCCCTCTACGGAGTACGTACTGCGAAGGCGCGAACCGTTTCGGGAAGATGCGCAAGACCACTCCGAGGGGCCAAAGAAGGTTTGCGAGTCGCGACACAACAGCACGCTGCGCCAGTCAATCAGTCTGTCGTATTCGGGTGCCACCCACCGTTGCTCAAGCCTCAAGCCCCAGGACTGCCGGTCGGTTCTTGTGTGGAGTGTGACGGCACGGATCACCGATCCTGTGGTGCCTGACCGTTTGTGAACAGGTCCCTGGGGACAGTGGGACGGGCAGTCTAATTGACTTGATCCCGGTTGCTTTACCTGTCCTTGACCTTCTCGGTCCAATTAACCTTTCCGAAGCTTCCCTCCTCCTACTACTTCTCGACGACAACACACGTACACGAAGACACATACACACAACTCGATAAACAACGCGTCAACGACTTGACGGACCATACCGAGCCAACCCTTCCTCCTCCACGATACCCTCACATCGCGAACCCGCCCAGATCCATATACCCAGCGCAGCCAACAAGATGGTCTCAACACGATCCTCCTCCCGCGCCCTCTCAACCGGCCCCGAAGCCTCCCCAAACATCCCCTCCACAGCCCGCGCCGTCGTCACAGCAGCCACAACCCACCCCGAAAACAAATCCACCCCGCAAGGCTGGTCCCACGCGCCAACCTCCCTCACCTGCTTCTGGCTCCTCGTCTCCCTGCCCCTCGTCATCTGGGACACGGGCTACGTCCTCCTCCGCCCCTGGACGATGCCCGGCGGCCACCTCCACTGGCCCGTCTGGGCGCCCTACAAGCTCTACGGCGAGGTCGACCACGTGTACGGGTGGAAGGCCTTCAACGCCGGCAACGGCTTCACATCGGCGCAGGGCGCCCTGAACGCCGTCGAGACGGTCATGTATCTTGCCTACTACTGGCTGTACTTCTCGCGGGGACGCGCCGTTGATGGGCCGGCTGGGTTGAAGAAGGTTGTTGGCGGGAAGGCGGGCGCGTTGGCTATTGTTATTGGGTTCAGCGCGGCGGTTATGACGTTGAGCAAGACGGTGTTGTACTGTAAGCGCGACTCTTTCTATCTCTCTTCTTTTGCGCTCAGGGCTCTGTGAAGTGATGATTTACTAACAACGATGATGCGACAGGGGCGAACGAGTACTTCTCTGGATTCGACAACATTGGCCACAACCCCCCTCTGGACCTTCTCTTCCTCTGGATCATTCCCAAGTAAGCTTGCTTTCCCCCGAGAACACACTGGGTAAACCATTACACGAAAAGGAAGCTGACTTGACATCGCAACTGTAGCGGCGCATGGCTCCTCGGATCAGGCTACATGATTCTCTCCATGGGTGGCGAGATCGTCGACGGGCTGGCTCTCGCGTCAAAGACGACCAAGACTGAGTAATGGACATCGATTGGTATTTGGGTCGCAGCGTTGTGCTCTCGCCCTCTCGCATGATCGTGATGCCACGAAGACAATCTCGTATCTTTATTCTCTATAATCAGGGTTGTGTAAGACGTGCGAGTGCGCCAGAAGTAAATGAAGGCGGAAGCTGGATTGGGTGGTAAATGGTACGTATAGGACAAAGATAAATGGACATATGCAGTAATGTTTGATATGACAACAGCCCCCCATCTACAACCCTCCCGAGGGGGCATCGAGCCTGGTTCGATGGTGTGTGCGATAGGTCGCAAATTTCTTGACGTGTGCACATCCACACCCACGAAGGCTGCATTCCTGCAGGTACTATGCGCATAAAACGTCACGGGGCGGATAAGACAGGTCGCGGTTGTCAGCACTTGCGCCCATCATACATAATGATGTGCTTCACAGATGAACGGCGAATGGGAAGACACGTAACCTTCAACAGGCCAGCTGGGACCAGCCTTTAATACGGATTGTTGAAAAACGTAGTGGTGTGTAAACGTGTTTAGACCAAGAGAGCCTCGCCTTATTCGACGTCATTTTGTCAAAGTCACAGTTCAAGTGAAAGAGGCACATGATTCTCATCCCATATCTTTTCTTCGACTTTTCCTGTTAAAATATTGTACAATGTGCCATGGTATTCCAGGCTTACACTCCTTTCCCAACCTCAACGCTCATATCAATCATCGCCATGCGCAAGCCTGTGTAAGGAGGGTGCGACAGGGTATCTCGTCATTTCCAAATCAATACATACAAAGAAAAGAACGCAATCGGCAGCGTGCCACTACCATTCGTACATCCCGGCCGTAGTAGTACTCAGTACACCCAGTCGGTCTAGATATTCAGAGGTGAGCAGCTAGTAAGACCACCAAGGTCCTTGAACTGCTCCCACACAGGCTGCACATCCATCTGCCCCAACACCGGGGACTCGTGAATTGGCACCGAAGACTTGCGGATCTGCAGGGGAAGAGGCTCCAGTTCATGACGATGGAAGTCCTCCTCCTGCTCCTTAATCAACTCCTCATAATCGTGAGCGTAGCTACCGGCGCCGCCGCCAATAACACTGTGACGCCGGTTGTTTGCCGTCCACTCCGAGGAACTGGCACGGGGCGGCGTCCCCGCAAAGGAAAGCACATTCCTCATGCGCCGACGACCACGCAGAGGAACGGGGCTCAGCATAGGTGACTCCTGGTTCGGCCAATTCTTGCTCGGCGCATCGGGCGAAGTCGGTGGCGCCGTGGAGTCGACGGTCGCGTAGCTATGACCACCCATCGAGGGAGCCTCAGAGGCGCCGCTGGACTCTGAAGAGGTCGAAAAGGAGCGCGGGGCGACATGCGTCCGGGGCGAGACCTCTGCGGGAGGGCCCTCCCACTTCTTAACGGCGTTGGTGCCGTTACCGTAGCCGTGTACCACGATCTCGCAGTACGATGCCTTGCGGGGTGCCGGAG